ATAATAATCTAAATTAAAAATTTATTTTAATTATCATTAAATTCAATTATTTAAAAAAAAATGAAGCATGAATTTAAGCCAATAGAATATTCTTTCTGACAATGTACGTAGAGTACCGGCAGATAGCTTTCTTATCACCGGTACCGGTGAATAACTTCTACCATTGGTACAGTACCGGTGAATAGCTTCATGGTCACCGATACTGTATCGGTGAGTAAACACGTCGAAAAGATATTTAATAAAATTAATCATTTGTTATACTGACATTAAAATATGTCTGTCAAATTCAAATGAAATAAATTTTCAATAACATTTGTACATATGTATAGGTACACACTTTAAGGTGTACTAAACTCCTATTTTCCCACATAAAATAAATTGTACCTATGTACAACAGGAAATGATAACATTTTATACATATAATGTACAATTCGTACAGCATGCTACCTATAGGCACTGACAGATTCAGAATTAGAGGTGACGTCGACGGTACATAAAAATTGCAAAACGGAACAAATGTCGTTACGCGTTATCATACCATCACGCTTGTTCTCAAAAGAACACGGAGAAAGAAAATGAAAAAGGAAAATTTACTTAAATATTAGAGCGATATTTACAATTTATCGTACTAGCCCGTTGGTTCGTAAGCAAAAATAAAAAAAATTACAATTTGGATCCGAATTTGTAAAACTAAAATCCCAACAGAAATAAATTTACTAGGTATTTTAGTTGATATTAAAAATTAAATTGTAGTTATTAAGAAACTTGAAATAATTTTTAAAAAAGCATGTCAAAATTGAGATTATTACAAGTTACCTAACAAATTCTACTATTTCTACGGTAAATCTAGTCATTCACAATCGAAAATTGTAATTTTTGCTTTGCTATAAAACTTTAGTTTTCTCCGTGAAGAGGTTTTTTTATCTGGTATGTATTGGGATGGTTAATACTTAAGTTATAATCAAAAACATAAATTCGACCAAAACAACATGTAAACGTAGTCAGAACATTGCAATTTTTTTCGTAAAGTTGCTAATTAATTAGTACCTACTTTCCACCTGTAACATAGTACTATCTCAATAAGTACTGAACAAAGCACTCTTCTTTTAAGAAAATTACAACGTGTAATTATACAACACGCTACTGAAGTGAAACTTCTCCAAACACACAATCATACCGGGATAAGGGTTAAGGAATTGGTTTAATTTGTACACTATGAATTTAAATTTTACACTATACATGCCGCAATTGCCTGTAACGAACGTTGCATTGAAGCGCGCTCCCGGCTCGAGCGATCCCCATTACGAGACATTCGTTGCATGATTTCGTTACATAGCAACTCGCATGAAACGGACTTACCGTACCGTGCGTAAAGAAGTTTCACTTCAACAAGGGTAGTACCGACTGCTATTGTTCATTAGGAGCTTTCGTCTCTGGAAATCACTGTTGAATTGGTATTACTGTTTTTCCGATTACGACGTCACAAAACGCGTGCAACAGTTTTTGTTTGTTATCGCCTTTAGATAATTTCTATAGGCATGTAAAAGTGTTAANCAGCTCCGACAGAACACAGACCAACTTTTACCTGCTGTCTTAACAGTGCGTTTTAGAAAATACCACAAATGGTGCGGTAAACGCCATCTGCAGTACGTTTTATTCGATTATGGTAACGTGCCTATCACGTTAAGGTTAGGTACGCTGGGATTCGTTTTAGCAAGTAGATATCCACACATGTGAACCTTGTTGGAGCATACGTAATCCTAAAATGTAGCATCGTAGTACAGATGGCGTTAAGATAGCTGGTAAAAGCTGGTCTGTGTTCTGTCGGAATTGTCGGCGAAGCGCTGATGAGATCCAAAAAATCGAAATCGCGATCCGCGTCTGGCAGTTTCGACAGAATACAGACCACTTCGAATTATTTTATATGTTAACTATTCTAATCTACTTCTCCTCCTCTTAGCTCCTGTTTTTGCTTTATGTCGATAGATGACCACTCCGTATATAACACGAGATTTTAATTTGTTGCGTTTCACTTAAGATGAACTTCCGTGCTCGTTCAGTTAAGTTAAGATTGAGACGTAGGTCCCCTTGTTCGGGATAATTGCATCGTCTTAAGTCTATCTCACTTTCGCAACTCGAGTAATTAAATTATTCCCGCCAAGTGCTTTCGGTAATTTCCTCTTAAACGGTTTCAGTATCAGGAGATAGGACAGAATTGCGAATAGCCTTTCCACACTTACTACGATCACACCGTACAGCGCTCTCTGTCGCTCCGCTCGGCAACCAACAACAATGCCCATGTTTATATACGTACATAGATAATATACGGTACCATTGAAAGGACCTAGTGTTATAATTAGACAATGGCTCGTTGATGGAATACGCTCTCAATGGCGCTGATGCTGCTCCAAATCTTCTCATTTTCATTAACGTGAATTGTCCAAATCCCTCGCACACAGTCTTACACGTACCTACACACACTACGTTCGTTTGTTAGAGGCAACATGGAAATTGTGCTCAAAATACAATCGGATGGTCTAATACCACACAATTCGCATACTAAAATAAATTAAAAGTAATGTGGCAGCAAATTTGAAATACCTAAGGGCGGCAATTTGGAGTTGTACCCTTTAGGCACAAAAATGTTCCATTTTCGGTTGAACTGTCTGTTCAACGGAAATGTAATAATATTGCAGACAGTAGTTGCGAAAGTGTTTCCTTTTACTGCGGGATTAAGATGTTTGAAATACTACTTAAATTCGTTAAAAATTTAGTCATGAATTTTTTTGAAAGATGCCTTTTTTTATATTAAATGCCCGATTTTGGTCCAAGTTTTTTTGTGGTTTCCTTGGACTACTTAGGCAAATGCTGGGGCAGTGATATTCCACAGATGGCAATCTTTCATTCTCTTCTGTCATCATTTCGTCCGTCTCATCTTTCTCACTGGAACCACTACCCACCCATTCCCACGATTCTTGAAAGGAAGTTGAATAGGGCTTTCCGCCCTACCTTCCGGCGTAGTCTGGAGGGACTGCTCGCCCACCAACAGTAGTGACTAGTGGGAATGAAACACCCAAAACAAAATAATCGAACTGAGTCCTCAACGTAGTTAATCCTACGTGGTAGGCACGTAACCAAACAGAACTAATAGTCAGAGGTAGTCGTCATTCAACAATACGTACATTTTCGAAGATTTTTGAGATTTTGAGATTTAAGCTATTGCTTAGCATTCAGAAGGACGTCGGCTCGATTACGCGTCCGTCTGCCTTAGTCCAAGTTTTTCTGTGGTTTCCTTGGACCACTTAGACAAATACTGGGGCAGTAATATTCCACAGATGATACTATTTCGTTCTCTTCTGACTTCATTGCGCCCATCTGATCTTCCTCACCCGAACCACCACTTATGACGTGTTGACGAGACCCAATGAAATCCAAATCGTGATTCATGTCTGACTACTGACCAACATGAACTTTTTATTCCTTAATCTCTGTTTTAATTGACGTTGACGTTGGAATTTAATCCTTTTCAAAGTGACAATAATTTCGCAACTGATAATACTTTTTGTATTGTGTAGATACTATTCACTAATTGAAGAAGGTTAGTATTTATACTACGATGCATCATAATTTATATCTCTTGTCTTTTACTAATGCACTTACAATTAATGTCGTGTCACCGCTATTATTAACTAGTCTAACCTCTTACACAGTAGGACATATGATTGGAGGTACACTGTTAATGTATAAGTTGTCTTTACTTATTCATTTGTATCCGAAAAATGGGAACATGTGAAAAAAGGTACCTACTGAAAGTAAACGAGACGACAAAGAATTTGATCTAAATTTTTCACTGTTTTTGCTGTCATGTACTCCATTTACTTACACCAATAAAGGGCATATACATCCCACTTACTCCGGGGCCCTTTCAGTCTTGGGTCATTGTACAGGTCCTTTTTCAGGACAATTTTAATATCCTTTTACGGGAAGATCTCTCCTAAAAAGTTTCTTTCTTCTTCAATTCACTATCGTTTTTTTATAATATTTGTCACAATCCTCCAATAATTTTACGTCAATTGCAAGAGACTGATTTTCAATCACTGATTCATTGTTTCCATTGGCAGCTATTGTATTTCTCCCCTTTTAATTTTCATTGATTAAACAGTAGGAATATAAAAGAAAAGCCAATAACTTCCGAGGGAGGCACTTTGAATTCCTTTTTCTAATTCCGGACTCTTCTTTAACGTCTTTTTTTTTTTTAAATCTTACAGGGCGACATCGAGCAAGTATCGATTGCCAGCGACGCGACACTTGTAGGACTGCAGTGTTCGAAAGTAAAAACTTCTGTTGCTGACAACAAAAGAAGTGTTCTGGGCGAGAGGGTGAGTGCACTAACTTTTTTTTTCTTCAACTTTCAGAAACCACTTTATCGAGTACCTTTTGACAACCAAGTTGCCTTTTAATGGCGTCAGAAACCGAAAGCCTATCAAGGAAGAATGTAACAGAACACAAAAAGGGTTTTGTCTTTTAGAAATGATGAAAAGATACATTATGTCATTATTTGTGACAGTACTCCGCTAGATTTTTACGGAAAATGGCCCTCTGTCAAACAAAGTTTGGATTCTGGTAGTTCTCGACGTATAGATCGAAGTCTCAATGGGCGCTAAGGCGTAAAAGCTCATCTTTTTGAGATATGGTATGTATCTTGGAAGTCCTTAAAAAAATATGAGTTTCTACGAATTACTGCCCATTGAGATTTTTGATATACACGTCGATAACTATTAGAATCTAAAGTTTCAAGAAGATTGACAAAGGGCCATTTTCCGAAAGGATCCAAACAATTATTAACTAATTACAGATTGAAGTATTAGCCAATCAAAGTGCGTTTTAATTGTTTTAAACAAAAGAACATCAAAAACTTCCAGTAATAATTAACCTCGCTCTCCTATATCGCTACCATAGAGATAACACAGTTATTAGCATCGACGTTTACTAATAGACATGCCTTAGCGGTCAGAATTGTGGTACAGCAAAAGAAAGAGATAGAACGAAGTTTCGGTCGATATCTATCTCTCTCACGATAGTGCGTAAGCGTGTCATGAAAGAGATAGCACTGGTCCAAAGCCATACGCCATCTCCCTCACTTTAAATGCGTTAAAATATGCAGTTTAGACTTTCAAGAGGCAGAAAATCGGGAGGTCCTTCAGACTTCTTCAAACTGTCATTAATTCTTCAATTTTTCCTTAAATTTGTGGCCGGAATCTTAATTAATAACAGCACTAGAACGAGACAACCGGCACTTAGAGTCTCTCAAAGAACAGTTCCTTTGATGGAAATCTCATCAACCTGGCGTTTTCCCATACATTACCAACGTAATAACTCATCAAGCGTTTTTGGCCTCTAGAAATATATTTTTGCTGAGAACAGTCAATGTTGTCTTCTTAATAGAAATTATTTTTAAGGACTAAACACATATTTTTTTGTATTGTATTGTTTACTGCTTGCCATTGTCGCTTGCTAACTCTCAAAAATGCAGGAAACCACTGATGATAACACGGTCGTTGTTCCGAAATATTATTGGAAATGAACTTGTTGGCGAAAACATTCGGTTCAGAAATTTGAAAAACGAAGAACTTTATCACAAAATCATAAAATAACCGCAAATATCTATCTATCGATTTTAAAGATCCGATCAATCGATCAATCAATCAATTATTATTATCAGGTCGTATTAGAAAGTGTGTAATATACGTAGCAATAACACTGTTGTGGCAGGTTTCGCCTTTATTTATTTATTTATTTATTTATTTATAGCAAGTTGACGTTTTTACATAAATAAAAACTGTTTAATTTATTTCTCCTATTCAATATGTAACCGTGTTTGTGTGACACCTTTTCTGTGCATAATGGCATTCACTATTAATTCAGTTTTTATGAACTGTCCGACTGTAAATCAATTCTAGTTCAAAATAAAAAGTAAAAAAATTCAATTGAACACATATACCTACAGATACACTTAAATGTACCCCACATTTCAATTTCTATTTGCGAATGTAGCGCATTCTTAAACAAAATAAAAATTAAATATTTATGGTGAATGTGCTACATGTCATACAAATAAGCTAAACCTAAGTGGCATCTAGTTTTTGATTCGAAAATTTACCGGGTGTCCTACCGTATACCCACGTAGAGAGTCTATTAAACGGAGATTTGTAGAATTTTGTATTCATTAAAGGCGAGTTCAGACTAAATGAACGAACAAGAGCGAACGAAGGCGAATATTTTCTCAAATTCGCTATTGGTCGTAAGCACGTGATCTGCTTCCGTTATTACGTTGGTAGCACTATAATAAATACAGGGTTGTCTAATATTCCTGAATATTTGCAAAATGAATTTTAAGAGAACAACAAATCTGAGCTCGTTCAAATAATAAAGTTATTTATCTATTTACAGCATAATTTAAAAATTGAAAATGAATTTTCAAATTAATATTTAATATTAACAACTAGCAATTTAATAAAATAATTCGAAGTGGTCAGCGCGTCGCAGACGGCTTCGACAGAACACAGATCAACTTTCACCTGCTGTCTTAATAACGCGTTTTAGAAAATACCACAAATGGCGCGGTAAACGCCATCTGTAGTACGATGCTACATTTTAACATTACGTATGCTCCAACAAGGTCCATTTAAATATATGGATATCTACTTGCTGAAACGAATCCCGGCGTAGCTAACCTCAACGTTATAGGCACGTTACCATAATCGAATAAAACGTACTGCAGATGGCGTTTACCGCGCCATTTGTGGTATTTTCTAAAACGCACTGTTAAGACATCAGGTAAAAGTTGGTCTGTGTTCTGTCGGAGCTGTCTGCGACGCGCTGATGAGATCCAAAAAGATTGAAATCGCGATCCGCGTCTGGTAGTTTCGACAGAATACAGACCACTTCGAATTATTTTATTCGATTAAGCTAACGTGCCTATCACATTGAGGTTGGCTACGCCGGGATTCGTTTTCAGCAAGTAGATACCACACAAGTGGACATTGTTGGAGCATACGTAATCCTAAAAATCTAGCATCGTGCTACAGATGGCGTTTACTACGCTATTTGTAATATTTTCTACAACTAGCAATTCAAATTTATTTACAATATTACCCAGAGTAGCTTAGATTGGTTGTTCTCTTAAAATAATCATATCATTGATAAAAAAAAATGATCAAAAAATGTTTCGTTGTTTTACCCACACCCCTGCCAAGGTTTCTAAATTAGAACAACCATAAAATAATATTATTTTTTCCTAGTCAAGTCGCTTTTAATAAACATTATTAAGTCCGTTTCGACAGTTATCCACATAACAAAATAAATCTTAATGTCAAATTGTAAATCTCTATTTCAATTCAATTATAATTACATAATAAACGGATTGTTATTACATGCGGAACCATTATATACGAATTTCACTGCAATCACATGATTATAAGTATTTCATGAGAACGTTAGAAATAATAAATTCATGATTTAAACAGAATTTCTATGAATTTTGGAACAAACCTGTTATTCTCTTAAATCAAACACATGAAGGTAAAAGTCATTAATTTGTCTTTAAAGGTTGAAACAAACAACTTCCAGGACAGCGGAACCGCATTAAATGTAACAAAGTTTTAAGCCAGTGATGCAAAAGCAATTTGTCAAATTCGTGGATTTCCACATATCGAAGTACGGAAACTTCATCAGGAGTGGAATACGAAATAGTGTAGGCAATAAAAAATGACCAAATCAGTCACAGTTCGTGAAAACGTGATCGGAATTGAAAGTATTATCGATATCGTTCCAACCACCCATTATTTTGATTGATGGACTAATCAAGTATTCTACGAAACGAAAACGGATTCGTCAGGATTAGGCGATATTTTTAAATCCTGTATTAAAAAAATTTAGCAAGGTAGTTTGTAAAATATTATATATACCTACAAGGTGACGATTTACTTTTGTTTATAAACTTTACCGTGGTATGCAAAATTAATTTTCTGCAAGTTTAAAATTCAAAATCTGTGCACCACTTCTACCAAACATATCAATGAAAATAAACCACCACATGTCACCGCCGAAATCTCAAAAAAGCTCGTATATAGGAAAAATATAGAGATGGAACATAAAGTGCTATTACAGACGAGGGGAGTGCAATCCATCAGGGTACCTATATATATTAGGGTTTATACAAAAACCGACATTTTAGAAAACCGGCTTCGAATAGTAATTGTTTCAGAAAACCGGTTTTAACCGGTTTCGAATTTTTAAAAAAAAATTTTTGCTCGAATATTCTGTAATTCGAACAAAAAATTTTAACAGAAAATTTAGTGATTAAAAGCAGTTTTTGACTGAAATTATTTACTGTTCAATTTTATTGATAGTAAAATTTTTTTATGCAATTTAGTAGAACAAAGAAATAATAGTTGACCAGGATTAAATAACTTTAAAAACAATAATTCGTTGTTTATGCATAATTTTCACATATAAGGATGTAAATATTTTTATAATAGTGAAACGAGTTATTCAGCAAAGGGTTCGAATAAATAAAAACAATATATTTTCATATTTTTATAATAACCGTAGATATTATTTTTTTAAAAAACAACCATATTAGATACAGATGGATACTTATTAAAAACAATTAGAAAATATATAACTGTGTATTATATAATGT